CTTAGGCATAATTAAAATTTAGGCATAACTGAACATAATTGAATGAAGTAATGGTAAAAATTTGATGCTCTGTTTGTATGACGAAGAATCTTCTTCAGGCCTGTTACGTTTGGGCCTAATTTTCTAATTTCTGCTGATTCCACTGCAAAGTTTGCAGGAATCTGTAAATTTTTCGCGAAGAAATGTTGTTCTGGTTGGTCTGAGCGCTTGTCCAGGGGGATGACGCGGTTCTCCTGCCGACTTCCGTTAGGAAGGCGTTGTCCTCTGAACATCATCATACCCTGTAATCGCCCACGTTGCCGCCGGAAAATTGGATGGCGAAGACGCCATGACACGAAGGATGACACTGGTGGGTTCATTAGCCCGCGAGAAGGAAGTACAGTAAAGGAATAACGCTCGTACTACTCGTACCGACCTCCACAGTTTCCTTCAGCAGTCCAGTTAATCGAAAAGCGTTATTATGTTTGCGACGAATCCGTTTGCTCTCATTTTAATTGACGGGTGAATCCACTTCCCGACAAAACATCTTTTACCTCCCGAAAGAAGAAGGTGTACTCCTGCACAGAATCCGAAATGGCTGGATATTGCGTGGAATGATGGTGCTCATCAGCTCAGTATTTAATTGACGGGTGAATCCACTTCCCGACAAAACATCTTTTACTTCCCGAAAGAAGAAGGTGTACTCCTGCACAGAATCCGAAATGGCTGGATATTGCGTGGAATGATGGTGCTCATCAGCTCAGTTACTCAGCCAACTCTTCGCGTTTAATGCATTTAAGGGAAAATGCTCCGTACATGTTACCGACGATGAAGTCAGGAAAGAAAGCTATTAATTACCCTCTTTAGGATATCCAAATTCAAAAGCCGTACCAAAGAGGAACTCCGAAAATCCAGCGGATAGATGTGACGGAATGCTTTCTATAGCGGATGTTCGGCATAAAATAAATTTATTAAAAAAAATTCGAAGTAAGTCCACTGCTTTTGTCGAATTTGACTTATACGCCCTCAAATGAAATTAATGTGAGAAACTAAAATAACTTTTGAGACCCAATGTATGATTCAGGTGGATAAATCACGGAACTTGAATTTCAAAGATACCATCTGGTCCAAAATTCAGGGTACTGTCGATCGAATTCGTGGTTAATCGAGGTCCAAATGCATTTTACAGTTATTCAATGAAGATGAACCCACCGACGTGAATCCTTTAACAGGACTGGAACATGCTGGATTGAAAGTGCCTATGAAATAGAAAGGTCGATGATGGAAATTGCATCTCGCCCGAGCATAATCCGCAACCCATCCAGTGCTGTTTTTTCTTCTTCTGCAGAATACCAGAAATTATATTTCAATACTTTCCACATTCATCCAGTTTTTCACATGGGTACATGCGATTTTCCAGTTTTTGAGGGACCAAAGAGACCCAACACAATCCAACGTAATGGGGTTGTCCGGCTTTTGTTACTCCACCCGAACCCGTTTACTAGGAAACGGGATTTTGGAAATGAGTGGGTTGCATGCTTCCACAATAGGTGGGTTAAGTTTTACTTTTGAGTAGAACTGGAAAGTTCTTGAATGAAATTTGTAATATTTTTAAAACTGACGACGAATTAATCGGATTGCATTTCGTCAGGAACACTTCGTAACGAAATTCTTACATTGAAATGTGCTATCGTAACTGTAATTTTACAAAGCTTTTGGGTGAAATTCTTTTATGAACTATCGACAATTTACCCTTTAGGGATAACCAGGAAAGTCATATTCTAAGCATATAATGACTACAGGTAATTTCCGTACATGTAGGTCTTTCTCGGCACGTATAGGTTGCTGCGGTTAAACATCGCCATGACTCATGTATGGCAAAAAGCTTTCAGAAATTCGATAATTTTGAACAAAGTCATCAATAAAAAATGTTCTCGCGTAAGAGACATGGGCACATACTACATTCTCCCTTACACTGTTGGGTTTGTGTTATGCCCAGAACATGAGCTGAAGAAGGAAAAACAATTCAAGTTTTCTCCGGAAGATATGATTTGAGTACTGTACATAGACGAAGAGGGAGAGCACAGTTCTTCCAAATCCCTTTGGGAATGAATTCATGGTTTTATACAGCAACTCTGGGAATAGGGTTCCGTTTTATGACGTGTCCTGTTTATGACAGTCCTCCTGGAATGAATTACTGTCATGAAGTCAGGGACCACTGAAAATTGTTGCACTAATAATATAAATTTAAACTTTAGCCAACATGATACATTGAGTATGCTGCAACTAGGAATTGACTACATCTTCAAACCCGTTAGATGTTTTATTTGAAATAAATAAACAGTTGGATGCTTGGATACCTGAACCAAATTAAATTGCTTTGCCAGCACACTGAGTGAACATAATTTAATGTACAAATGATGCACGAATGAGAACAAATATCACTGCGCCAGAAGTTGTATGCAAAATCAACCGAATTAGGAGTAACCATTGGTATGGCAGACACAAATTTAAAATGACCAAAGACTGCCGAGAGTTAGCCTTTACACTCATCTTAAGTTAATTTTGAAAAATACATGAAGCTGAATAACATGGTACATGCGCGTGAAAATGTTCGCTCGATGGAATGTAAATCAAATGCGGTAATATTGAAACTAAAATTGAGAAAAAACATTTCAAATTTGTTTCGCAATAAGTTCGAATGACATTGGGATAATAAATTCTATATGTTTGATGTATTTAAAAGGGATTGGCTCTATAATACCGAAAATTTTCTTCTGTAAAGTAAAGTTTTGTTCAACAATTGGACAGGAACCATAGGTGGGAGTTCCAGAGCTTGCAGCTTATATCGCTGCACATTAAATAAGCTGACTCACAAGGAGTTGAAGGTTCGCTAGTGGGAGGTTGTGAATCATCAAAGCTGATACTGTACAATAAGCTTCCAGGAAACTGACGAGCCTTCATCAAAGTTTTTCAAGAGTCAAATTCATGTTGGAATATCATGGCTTTTCGGTGGACAGGTGCACAATTCATGCATGATGATTCGTCATTTTTTTTCTAAAAATATCTACGCCTTTCGTTCGCAGAGGAATAGATCGTCTTTCAACCATGGAAGCATCGTAAAATTTTCGCATGATTAATCGTGAGATTTGCTGCAAAAACATTAATTCTAACGTATATAAAAGGATTATATACATCTTTATATCAAGGATTAAGCACATTTAATAAAAAATTCCTTTCATTAGCAGAAGTATTGACTGCAGAATATATGTCCACAAAAGCATGAACGAAGAGTTTGTAGATTTCAATTATTAAATTTTAGAATTTTTCTCTTAAAATCTGAAGTGACCAGCAATAATGAGTGTGTATTACCAAATGCAAGACACAATTTAGAACATGATGACAGCCAAATGTAAAAGATCAACCAATTGCAGGGTAACAAACGATTAATTATCTTACTGGACTTCGTTATCATTGTAGCATTCGGTACTCAAACTTTTCCTCTCAAAATTAAGGTAAACTTTTGCTGATATAATTTTGAACCAAAGAAATTTGTTGACAGCTCATCAGATGACACATAAAAATCATCTGTGATTTCAGAGTATGCATCACGATTCTGTCTGCCATCCCCTTCGAAGGCTGTGAGCATCTATATTGTCCGGTTTCACGGAAGGCATGCAAGTACTGTATATTTAAAAACCAAATATCTTGGTTAAAGAGCCCATCGACTCAATGCTTCAATAAGTTCATCCGATCATGAATCCAGTAATGCTATGCCAGATATGCGATATCTCAATCTTGATGATGACATGATAAATTATAGTGAAGGTTAGTACAATTGCCTGTCAAATTCAGAGTTTCGTTTTTATTTGAAGACTCAGTTTGGCAAATAACCTTTTGCATAAAAATACAAGATACCCTTTGACGTGAGACGCCATGTAGACATGGAGTACAAAATTTTCCAGTGAGAGAAAATTATTTTCATGAAAAAATTTTGAATTTGAGGAAAAACAATTGAATTTCAGGCACGAGTCTTAAATAATTTAGTTTTTGTTGCACAGACCAAATGAAGCGGTAAATTTTTAAAATTGCATCACTGATCGTATCAAAAATATTTAGGTACTCTGAAACATGCCCATTCTATTGAAGTAAAATTACTCTTTGCAGGACAGAAAAACTTAAAAAAAAAATGTTCGAACATAAATCCGCACTGGAAATCTCGGATCACAAAACGGATCGGATGATTCAAGAAACATTCCTTCAATGAATGAAAACAACTTATCGCTGAGAAAAACTCAACGCTTTACTAAGTCAGGCAAAAATTGTCAACTGAAGTAACGAGTTGTGCTGGTAGCTTTCACGAAGAGCCAGCTGCACATCGTGAATCATTCGAATTTCCGTCGTCCACTTCCGCATTCATCACTTCCTCCAACTCCTCTTCATTGGAAGAAAATTCTTCAGAACTCGCATCAAGCTCTAATTCTGACCGATCCGCCGTCTCTACGAATTCCGAATCTAATCTTACTTCAGAACTCTTCAGTTCGTCCTCGGAATCATTCTTCGGCGGTTTCTTCACAGCAAATGCCTCTTCAAGTTCGTCTAAGCTCTTTCCGTTCGTCTCCGGCAAAACCAGGAGGCAAAATATGCCCACTGCTATACAAGCTGCTCCATAAAACCAGAAAACCCCGGCTTCGGTCAAACTGCTTCTCATGCTAAAAAAAAAAAAAAAAGGTGCATTCGTAAACAATCGGATTCGAGTGAATAACCATGTCGGATTCCGGCGATTAATTTATGAAATGTTCGCCGGCAACTTTAAAACAAATTAACCATTCCCGATTTACAATTCTCACTGGCTTATCTAGATAATTTCCCTTTCGTTGGTGTTCATGCTTAGTACCTGTAGTAATATTGAACCGTTAAGAAGCACGCAAAGTTGTTGAAGACGGACATGACTGTAGATGCCGAATCGCGCACGTTCATTGGAATCAGCTCGGTCCTCAGCACAAAAATGGAGGAAGCGAGTCCGAAGGAAAACGCGACGCTGAACAGAATTAAAGTCAGCAGTGGAACCCAATGAAATTTCTCTGCTGCGGCTGGGTTCTGAAAAACAAAAATCAATGGATTTGGCGGTCGTCAGAGTCGGTGTTCAGTTTTCGGCTATCAACCCGTGCACGATACGGAAATGCGGCCCTTGATCGACACTAAAATTGGGTTACCATATTAAGCAACTCCAAGACGTTCGCGGGTAGAAAATCACTTAAAATCTGTTGTAGAAAAGCTGTTCTACTGACAAAAGTTTGTCTCGTGACCTTGATTTTTTAAATGAATTTAATCAACCCAATTCGTGGAATGCAATGCAGTTCTCTGGGGAAGTGCTAGAATGTACTACAGTTAAAGTGTCATGTGTTCATAAATTAATATTTTGGATGAATCAGATAATGCAGAAATTCTCGAAAAACTTCTTTCGTTAGATGGATCAATCTCGAGCAGTGGGAGTTTTAAACATATTTTTAAAATCACCATCTTTGACAGGAAACAGAAAGCACTCCCAATTACAAAAATAAGTTAATTCGAAGGAAGAATGCTTGTTCGTAGAAATGCATGCGATTTCCTGTTCTTTATTTTTCAGTCTCGCGCAGTTTGTTCGAATTTCTACTATGAATTATACAGAAATTTATGTACTGAAGTGAGTAGAAATAATGGTACAATAATGAATGACATGTACTAAAGAAATTGTTCAAGGGCATAAGCTACTAAAAACGACTAATAAATATAAAAAGACAACATCGTGAAATCATTATAATAAATACTTTGATACTTGAGGAAATTAGATATGTCTAATCTTTTCCTCTCTAGTCCCAAACACTTCGGCATTCCAGTATGTTGTGGGCGTGCCATTTTGTTTTTCTTTCATGGAAAGACAATCTTCTTTTTGAAAGAAAAAAATATTCTGAAAATGGGCAGGTAACGAAATACGCACGTTTTTGGGAGTTTAAAGCAGATATTTGCTCTTGTCTGGAACACTTAAATTTTGCTTTAATGAAACTTTAAGTTCTTTTATCCGCATATAACGAAATTCTTCCTGGAACGTATTAATTTCGTGGTTCTATGGAGACCCAATAGCCGACCCACTGCATAATAATATCGGTATCCATCTGCATTTTGAAAGTGTATTCAAGATTTTCTGCTCACTAGGGATCCCTCTAAACAAGTGAAATGATTAGATTTGCGTATCGTATGAACATTATGTGGTGGCGAATTGAAAGTGTTTATAAGGTTGATCATTATTTCCATGAACATATCACTTATTCGACCATGGAAGTCACACCGGAGCGAATCTCGTTCTTTATATTCCTCCAGGTGATCATCAGAATATGTTTGCAGAAGGAATACTCACCTTGTGAAGTTGATAGTAATAGGCGCCGAACGCTGTTTGAGATAACCCCGAGAGGATCGCTGAGGAAACGTATAATTTCTTCCGTCCGATCCGATCAGTCAACCCATTTGACAGGAAGTTTACTATCAACTGGACTGCACTGATGATCACAGTACTCAATGTCGAGCTCAATCTGCTTCCTGCCGATTCAAAAATTTCAACCGTGTACGAGAAGACGACGAATGCTCCGCTAAGCTGTCGCAACGCAGCAATGACAAACAGCACAAAAAGCGCCTTCGCATACTTGCGGTCGAGCAAGTCGAGAAATTTCTGTGAGTGCACCTTCGACTTGGCAACACGGGATTGAAGGTCCAGCAGTTCCACCTCCACGTTTTCTTTACCGCGAAGAAACTGAGAATTGAACAACAAAATGGAGTTTCATAGAAGCCAGGGAATTAGTCCCCAGAACCCAATGATGACAGCTTTTCAGAACCCTGTCAACACCAGCTAGATATGAAATCCTGTCACTGCAGTGCTACCAAAATATGACAGACACTTAAGAAGTGCCATCAGCAGTCCAATTTTTCCACAGCAGAAATGAGAGATGAAGATCAAAAGCCATATTTTCGATTTTTGTTAGCAATGCGGAATCGCTATACGGGAAGAATGTCACCACAGTGAATAGAACAATCCCAATCGATGATGTAGTAATAATTTGTAGATAGTGAAAATTTATCGAGAACGGATGGAACACTGAAAATCGGATCACCATCGTTCCATGTTGATCGATGTCTATCTTCAATATAAAATATTCCAAATTCTTGCTCACTTCAAAGCCCTTCAACGCTTGTCTTCCAAAGAGCGTAAAATAGAAGTACTGTAGTTCATCATTTTTTTAAACTGAGTTTTGGAGATATATTTCTACCCCATGCAGATTCAGGTGATTCTCAAACGTCGTTTATTTCTGAAAATTTGTTTCCAACTGGTATTTTGAAGAGGATGGAATATTTTTTTAGGTCAAGCTCATGAAATGTTTTCAGGTGGGAAGATATCACATGCCGTATCCGGAGATATTGTGAAACAGAAGGTTTAATATTAAATAAACTAACTCATTATAAAAATCAAAATTAAATACGATGTTGCTTATCTTAAACAATATACGAAATTCATATCAATTTGAAGAAGGTACAGCGTGATCATTGATGAAACTCCAAATCAAATCGATGAAAAGATTGGAAAAGCAGGAAATAAATTGTAATTCAGTCGTTCAGTCATGCGCTCGACATTTAGGTATTCCTCGAAGTAGCGGGAAAAAATCTGATGTCGGTCATTTCACAATCCAGCTTCGAAGGAAACAATGATTACACAAATGGTGGAAAAATTACCGGTACACAAATTTCGGACATTTGCAAATCACAATGAAAAAATGATCAAAACATAGATTTTAAACTATATTTGAATCAAGTCGAAATATCCAATTCCCGGGCAGTGAAAAAAAAACACGCAATAAAAAATGACACAAGCTCTCTCATCATTACAAGCGAGGATGTAGTTCCTGCAATAAACGTTCTCTACGTTCCCTGTTCGATCCATAGCAAAAGTTTTCAAGAAAGTAGTAAGATGGAACCTTTTTTTCTTTGTTTAGAAAATATTTCGGCCTCATCTAAGTATTGTCTCCAATTGTTCCCAATGTTTTTGTATGTATGCCAAAGGAATAGAATAATGTATGTCAATCCAAGATTATCTCGGTGTAAATGACAGAAAACGGTATTCTTTTAATTGCTGAACCCTTGGCTAAATATCTACTTTCTGGAATTTTTATGCTTTCACCAATCTTCCATTTTTATGAGAATTAATTGGAAAAATGGTGATCTATTGAGGTTTTTCAACCAAATCTGAGACATAATAGCAGGACTTTGAGTCACGACACAAGAAAAGCATTTATCCAAAATGTTTTGGCAATGCACCTATGCAGGTAGTTTTTGAAATTTTGGTCAAGTTCTTCCGTTCATAGCATTCAAGATGCAGTATTTCTTCAAAATGTTTCTCTTACCGTTAAAGCTCGCCTGGCTTTCATTTCAGTCGACTTCCGGAGTAGCCACGTGGGTGATTCCGGAAACAAGAAAGCGAGCAACAGATNTCCAACCAAATCTGAGACATAATAGCAGGACTTTGAGTCACGACACAAGAAAAGCATTTATCCAAAATGTTTTGGCAATGCACCTATGCAGGTAGTTTTTGAAATTTTGGTCAAGTTCTTCCGTTCATAGCATTCAAGATGCAGTATTTCTTCAAAATGTTTCTCTTACCGTTAAAGCTCGCCTGGCTTTCATTTCAGTCGACTTCCGGAGTAGCCACGTGGGTGATTCCGGAAACAAGAAAGCGAGCAACAGATGGACTGTCATCAATACGGCGTTCAGGATGGCTAAGCCACGCCAAGACAAGAACAATGCCGCCACGCTACCGATGAATGCATACCAGCATTGGGCTAGCATCCCAGTGGATGAAATGAATCCACGGACTTCTACTGAAGTTATCTCCGTGAGGTAAATCTGACCGATTGAACTGGAAATGCCGCCACACATGCCAAGTATAGTGCGTGAAATGAAAAATACATAGATGGTGTCTCCAAATGCAAGCATGAGCCAACTCGCAATTATAGGCAGCAATAGCAGCAGAAGGATCGTGCGTGGGCCTTCCAGGGTTGTCATGAAAGGGCCAACGATTGGGCCGAACGTCATTGCTAGAAGTAAAACGCTGTCTGCAACCAGAATCTCAAAGTTAGAGAAGTGAGCAATCCAATTCCAAAAAACAAGCGTGGGCCTTCCAGGGTTGTCATGAAAGGGCCAACGATTGGGCCGAACGTCATTGCTAGAAGTAAAACGCTGTCTGCAACCAGAATCTCTAAGTTAGAGAAGTGAGCAATCCAATTCCAAAAAACACAGTTTTCGTGCAGAAGGCTGCGGGAAAAGATATAAAATTAAACGATGGCTATGGTCTCAATAAATTTTGTGAGTATTCCTGGTATGGGTATGATTACACGCTGCTCTTCTTTCACAAATTTTAATCAGTAATCTTTGAAGATTACCTTAATAAAACACATGCTTGTTTAAGATAAAAATTAAGATCAGTGAAGATTCAGGCATCCGTCTTCTGTAACAGGCATTTCCCAGGCCCTTGGGTTTCACAGATCGTACAACTTTTAAAACGCGGTAATTCATGCTACAACACTAGCTGGTTGTAACTGCTCATTGTTCATCAGTGATAAGGTGTCAAAAGCTTCATCAGTTCTACTTCGTCTAGAATAGAGATATTTAAAATTTTCCTCGGTTGTGAAGCCATCAAATAGGTAACACATATCCACTTGCGGCTGGTTTTATATGAAATACTGTTTACAAGTAGTAAAATTCTGTTCCCTCGAATTCATTCAAAACCTCAGATGCATTTCTTGCACGAGGGCGGATTGTACATGAATAAATTCTTGATTTCTACAACATGCATGAAACAAATAAAACTTTAATAAATCTTGATTATTCCGGATGCTTTTGTATTGTGCTATGGAAACAATTAAGCTTATCACACTCGCAGTTAGTAGTGAGTAGTGACACTGTTTCTTTGCTCAATGCTTCAAGTAAATGTTCACCCGTGCAAATCCTTCCTTAGAAATATGTTCCACCCAATTTAACTGAAGTACTTCATGCTCTTGGATTTTTGGCTTGCTCGGTCCTTCGGCTAGAATCGGCTTGCCGTGTTGCACATATTCATGATATGATTATCTATTGAGAAAAAAAAGCACCAGTGCAGAAAAAGTATTATGATATAAACATCACAATCCCATTTTTTTAATGTCTATATAAGCATCATGAGGGCGGTCATGTAATCCGCAGGAGAACTTACTGAAAGCCGCCTTTTCGGATTCGCCCATGATGAATGGAGCATTTTCATCCCGTTCGAAGGACGGTATTCCCACCGCAGAAAATGTTCCTCCGGTTGATGCTATGATCCCACTCAAGGATCCGAGAGAAGCGCAAATCACCTTAGATAAATCGAATGCATTCAATGATGCACTCTGAACCTGAATGCCAATAAAATGGATATATTCGTGTTGAATCATGCATAGCAAATACAACAATAAACTAACACGTCATCCCCAAATATCATCGATTCGACAATAAGGAAATTCCGAAAAATCATATGCAGTCCCAATGTTGTGGCTCAACAATGAAGTTATATACAATTCAAGACCTCATTTGCCAGGTTTCATCAACTTTTCATTCCACAGAAGCATGTTTTCTGAACACAAATTACAAATTCCTTTGGGAAGTTGAGACATGATTTTTTGAATGCATGAAAAGTTCTTTCTAATGCAGCAAAACTAAAAAAATCCGTGTAGCATGGTTAGTTTTGAATGCTTTAGCATATTTCATTTTATTTTCTGATTTTTTTTAATCATCACAACAGATGCAGAAACCTTAATCCCCAAATAAGGCTCATGGCAGGTAGAATTTAAAAATAATTTTCAAATTTTCCCAAAAGTGTGTCAAAAAGTTCTTTTTCTTGAATATAACTAACTGTTGGACTGATCATGAATAATTGATGATGAAAACATGTGAAACACAAAAAATGGTCATGGAAATAAATTATACAGCAGGAAAATCTTAACAAATTACTTGGTTTATAGTCTGAATGATGATCAAAGATTTTTTTGCTTCACAAAAAATCTTCAGAATTGTTTAGATAAAAATATATGCATTTCATTCCTGGTGACATTCTAGCATCAAAAATTTATCAGAATAAATGTTTAAACTTTCATTTAGCTCACAATGATACAATTTAGTAAAATATATTAGCAGCCCTGATGTAGGTTTTGTAGCCCTTGAAGTTCTCTTTCTTGCACTTTTTTCAAAATGTTTTTTTGGCAGAATTTAAAGTGAATATAACTTTTTGGGGTGATTTGAATTTATTGTATGAAAAGGTACATTTACTTTAATTCTGCCAAAAATCCAAAAATGAAGTTAATAACATTTTGAATGAGTGTTGGAAAGAGAACTTCAAGGGCTAGAAAACCCAAGGATCAGTTTTGCGTTTTCTGTAAATGTTTGGCAAAATATTAAGTAAATGTAACTTTTGGTACAATAATTCCACAATCTCCCAAAAGCCTTCTCATGTATTGCATGGTAATTTTCATGTCCTATTTGATGGTTCTAGCTTGTTGATCAAGATTCCATTATAATAGATCAAATTTCTCTGGTGAAAGTTCTTCATAGATAGGGGTTTCGAATTTGGACATCCTATAGACTGTATAGACTATAGAGGGTAATTTATGGCATTCGTTTCATCCTCACTTCTGCGATGATAAATGTATAGTCACAAAATATTCATCACAAGTGAGTGAGTAACTGAAATTAAAACATTCACGAGTTATCAAACACAAAAACGGCATTTGTATCTACAGAAGGTTTCCGGTTTTCTCTTGCAATAGAGGCATTACTTCAACTTGCATGAAAGGATAAAGGCGAAGAGCAATTAACAAACACACATCAGCGTGTGGGCAGCGGAAGAGGGAGGAAGCCGACTCGGCATTTCCTAAGGCAAAGAACCGGAAACGGGAATTGACACTACTGGTACATTACAATGCTCTTAAGGACATTAAAAATACTGTACCTCAATAGTCGTTGTAAAAAGCCCAAGATGCTCATCAAATTGACGAACACGCGTACTCCATTCCGTCCGGTAACTGAGTATAAAATCGTTGGATTGTCGAAGAAACTAGAAAAACGTGCCCGCGCCAGTGCCGCGAAGTGCTGGACCACGAAGTCGAACCAGATCAACAATTGACCACTCCATTAAAGTTGCAATTTGCGATGTGAATACACATTTGAAATCGTGTTTTTGGTTCGATTTTAAAAAATAAATAATAATAAGTTACAGTATCTTTTGTCGCGCCATTCCCGACAGCAACCCGCGGTGCTTCGCCTCGCAGTATTCCGCGACCTGTAAATATTTTAAAGCTGACTCATGCAATGCAAATTTTTGCACTGCACGTGTAGCCATTAATTGGACAGGCGTACGATGAGATGGAGTAGAGTCAATGTACTTAATCACATTTCTCTTTAAATTAAAGAGAAATGTGTAAGAGACGAAACTGTGTAGCAGTACTTCAACCGACAGGGAAATAGAAAGAACAATGAGAGTCAAAACTGCTATCGCACATCAGCGTGGGGGTAGCTGATGAAGAGGTACTGAAGATCTACCCGGTTTGGTTTGAACCCGCTTACCCAAAAAAGGTGGGAGCGCAAGTCGACATACATCATGCAAATACAGTAAACTGAAAACGTATCCAGACGCGAGTAAAAGGAGCGTATAAAAGGAGCGTATAACACTTCTTGGTGATTGTTGCATTCAAAAGGCATGTTTTTTCCATCAATGACGGTAGTACTCAGGAAGGAACTCGCCATGATGTGAAGAAACTGTTTAGGAAACCAAAAATTTACGAATTCCGAACCAACGCCAAGAAGTGGAATCAGATTCCGGGTTATAAGCCGGAATCTCCCCGAGCCAATTCGACGCAATTTGAAACCGGATATCTGGTTCAATTTTTCGTGGGAGGGAGCGATTTCCAGCATCAATCCCTCACTACATCCCGCACTCCCACCGGACTCTCAGTTCCGCTCATATTTCTTAGATTTGAAAAGCGAAGCTTATTTTCGCACTGCGCGTGATCTATATGTATCCATCAATCGAACCGTCGCACGAGGAAGCAGAGTAAAGTACTCGTACACCACTTCAGCAGATTTCCCTTCGAACAGACATTATTACTCCGTACAGTACAGTACTTGGAATGCGTGGCTGCTTCCAGCAAGACGCGCTTGATCAACCGCACGTCTCGAGGGCGATCAACAACCAGGAATGCACCCTCGCGTTCGGCGTCGGAGCGGAACGCCAATTTTTCTACTTGTTTTTGTCGTTTGAAGGATTCTTGCAATTCTTCTTTCACCTGGTGGTCGGAACACAACTATAATTGTTTCCATCGCACACCTGAACACTTGGACAGGATCCAATACGACAGAATAGCAAAAGAATAGCGTGAATATTTGAGAATGCACGGAGCAGAAAATTAGGTGTAGGGAATTGGAAAACTAGTTCACTGTGTAGGCACAAGAATCGTAAATGTCCGATTTTACAGAAATTCAGCTTGCCTCATCCCCACGTGTTATTGGGATAGGTCGTGAAAGGGGTACACAGACCTTTACATTTTTACCATTTCTTCACCAAAAGCAAGTTTCTGGACTGCTGTGTCAAAAATGTAAGAGGTACATTTCGAATTGTATTGTATTGCATTTGTCTACCGTTATGAAATCCACGCGGATTGTAGAACTGCATGGGGTACTCAAGATATCCTTTAATGGTACTCCGCGATCATGGAGACACCTTGAAGAATGGGTTCCTTGCCCGGGTCAAAGAAAGGGGGGGGGGGGAATAATTCTGTAAATAAAAAAAATCTTTTAAACCTTCGGATTAAGATATACGGAAAGAAACCCTTTCCAAGCATTAATTATTAAAACATTCCCATCTTATTTTCCAGAAAATGTCGCAATCAAAGGGGTTCTTACATTTTTCACCTGGGTTTATGCCGCTTTATTCTCTTTTTTCTTTTCCTCTTAAACTGGGCAGTCGTAACTGTTGGAAGTACTGTATAAGCGCTGGCTCCTGTTTGTTAGAAGCCCGTCTCCATCAAACGATGGGAGAAAAGTTTAATGCAAAAAAAAAAAAACGCCAGGGGGACTTATGAGAGAATAGACGTACAATTTTCATCTTCCAGAAATTGAGAAAGCTATCGTAATTTTCCAGGCAGAGAAATTCAAGGATAGTCGTATTCTTGTGTACTCCGTGCTTTAGAAAAATAAAGGCGATACGGTGAGAGCATGAGAGACTAATTTGCCCAGACCCATCTCAAACCGGAATTTCGGAAAGAGTAACTACCATGGAAATCTGTTCCGTCATGCTGTGCGAGACTGTTACCACACCCATGTTTTCCCATTGCGAGGGCGTTCAGACCCTTGAGACCCGTCTTAATGCATATTCTGTGTTCTTCGTTCCGCTTGCCGAATGCAGACAGGTTCTGGGCGCGAATGAAGAAGCTCGATGTTTTACCGGAATTGCTAATCAAACTAACAAAATAGACTCTCATCCGTTGTACAATTCGCCTGAAGAAAAGGACAAGAAGCAGCGACTTGCTGTTCGCAGCAACGAAACTTCGAAACGCGGGTGGACTTCGCCTCGAATATATTTTTTAAATATTTCATTGAAATCTCCCATGTTCTGTTCGCATAGCGAGAAATCACTGAGTGAAAGATTTTACGAAGCGTCTTGGGAATCTTTCTCCTTGAACGAACACTTGCAGTTTCGAAAATACCATCGCATTCCAATATTGCATGCCTCGGGCCTCTTGACAGAATGAAACAACTCCTTTCACGAATTGTAAATAGACTGGAGCCTCATTTAAGGAAAAGATTCTCGATTCTCGTTTCCATTTTTTCTTCCCTAGAATAAACCGAAAAATTGATCGTTTAGTAGCATCAGATTTTAGGACAATCACGATAGTAATAGCCGAAACGTGGAAGAAAATGGGAATCTTATTTATGCATGTTTCTCTGGATTGATGTGCTGCGCAATAAAATTTGGACAGAAGTATACTATGTAGGCCTGTATAGTTCAAAAGGAAAATGAATTTCGGTACTCCACTGCGCGAAGTCCGAAAAAATTACAGATTTTCACACCAGTCGACAAGCAGTCTACAACGGAAGGAAGCCATAGAATCAAGTTTGAATGAATAACTTGATCGTCTAATAAAAAGGAACGGTAAACGGGGGTAGTAAAACGCGGGTGGACTTCGCCTCGAATATATTTTTTAAATATTTCATTGAAATCTCCCATGTTCTGTTCGCATAGCGAGAAATCACTGAGTGAAAGATTTTACGAAGCGTCTTGGGAATCTTTCTCCTCGAACGAACACTTGCAGTTTCGAAAATACCATCGCATTCCAATATTGCATGCCTCGGGCCTCTTGACAGATGGAAACAACTCCTTTCACGAATTGTAATTAGACTGGAGCCTCATTTAAGGAAAAGATTCTCGATTCTCGTTTCCATTTTTTCTTCCCTAGAATAAACCGAGAAATTGATCGTTTAGTAGCATCAGATTTTAGGGCAATCACGATAGTAATAGCCGAAACGTGGAAGAAAATGGGAATCTTATTTATGCATGTTTCTCTGGATTGATGTGCTGCGCAATAAAATTTGGACAGAAGTATACTATGTAGGCCTGTAGGGCAAAAGGAAAATGAATTTCGGTACTCCACTGCGTGAAGTCCGAAAAAATTACAGATTTTCACACCAGTCGACAAGCAGTCTACAACGGAAGGAAGCCATAGAATCAAGTTTGAATGAATAACTTGATCGTCTAATAAAAAGGAACGGTAAACGGGGGTAGTACGAAAGTTTTATGCCGATCAACGAACGAAAATAGAATGCAGGGATTTTTTCAATGCTGGAAAAGCTTTCTGTCACATTCAATATCACAATTTTGGATAACCTTCAGTGTTGGACATCGGAAACACACTTAAATCTCCATTATGAATTTCTTCATCGAGCTGCTCGAGGAAGAATGAAGTCGAATACGAAAGAAAGCGAATGATGAAACACGAATGTTGTGACAGGAAGACCCCGAGTCTCGAACTTGTGGACCATAAGTTGAATGTCCAGTTTAAACTCTATCATGGATAACCCAACAAACGCATAAAGTGGCTTTAAACACTGAAATATTGAATGGCTTTTTTTTATTAATATTTTCGACAAGTATTTCGCAATCCAGAGGCTTCGAGCAGCAACCGCGGAAGCAAAACTAACCGGTATTAATACGAGGACTCTCGAACTCTGCATTTTACTGCGTTATACATCTTCGAACGGTTTGATCATTCATTCGTTGAATTGACTCAAGTGCGAGTGATATTTCTATCTATATGCATGTCAGGACAATCTTCGCGACGACCAGATGAAATTATGGCGTGGCATAATGTGACCTGCGAGTGCGTGTAGAGATTTATAAAAAGTCACGATTTTCTGAGTTTCTTTCCAATATCGGTAAAGTTTAATGATACCTTCTTCTATATTTTTAATTCTTCCTGACGAACAGCAATCGAAGGAAAGTCAAAGGAATCGTAATACAGCCAACAACTCCTGGATAGCGAACCACGGGGTGGAAGAAAAGAACGAACAATCTGTACTTTCCGCGGTTTATAGCATGCTTATTTTTCTCGATGCGCTATATTTTCTTCTGATGAAAAAATATAGCTAGCATTTGAATGAAAATTGAGAGAATTTTTGGTATTCTGACACAACTGGATTACGATCTTCTAGCAATGCGGCGCATTAATTAATTTCCCCAACTATTCTAGGTTTTTTAAATGAGAATTGACTCGTGTTCACTGACAAACCACGATTAATAAGTATGACGACGGAAGGCAAAAAGAAACCTTTACATCAGCACCAAGGATTTCTTCAGCAGGTAAGAGAATTCATGAGGTAGCCATCTACCCAGCTTCCGAATTTTAAAGAAAATCCATCGAATAACGTTGCTGTATTTTATTTCACCAAAACGTAATGATATTTTTTTTATCTGCATATCAATTTATGATTCACGCATAATATTCTCGTGATTAATTCGGTTAAATCTTTCGTGTGTCGTTAGTTGGTGATGATTCCTATCTTCAGAATTTACTTTTCAGTACGTTTAATTTTTGAATTTATGTGCTTACGAAGTAGATGCATGGTCAATTCTTTTCTCGCACCTTACTTCTGTTGCAGGTCCTTTGTGCATCCGTCGGATCTGTATTTGGAACAGTCGTGGGAACGGGACTAGGATTTTCGGCGGTAGGCTTGACTTCCTTCGAGCAGGATGAAAACGCGCCCTTCGTCATGGCCAACGCCGAGAAATCTGTATTCAGTGAGTAACATTTGAATTTTTTGAAACAAATGGCGAGGGTTTTCTTTTAGGTCGAAGGATGAATTCGCGACTTTTGAAAATGATTGAATTAACGTATTGATGTATTTTGCTTGTTGAAGCGAATCTGTGCATTTCCGTGCGCATCGCCTTCGGAACACAAAACTCGAAACGAGAATTGCTACCATTGGTTTCATCCTTAGTACAATGCGACAAGTAAGAGGGCAATCCGAACGCCCCTCCTCGTAGTTTTATTCTTTTTTGCGTGCATCATGGTGAGATTTGCTTCAATTTTTTTTCTTCAATGAATGCTGATCAAGTCGCCTGATGGAATTTCGGGAACTCAAAATTCATGGAAACGTACCTACTGTACAGGTTATTCTTGCGCATTAAGTGAGATAATAGCCAGCATTTAAAAATACTCTACTACAGTGAGCCCTCGGTTAACGAAGTTTTGTCTGGAACTTATGAAGGTTGTTAACCGCGGGCCCACTGTATTTCTTCTCTCGATGGCAAGCAAGAAACATTCTGAATTGGTAATCGAAAACGCAACCTGATTGATAGAAAAATGTTTTTGTGATTTGACCAATGATTACTATCTAACTGCCGAGGATTTTGCAGGTTTCAAAGTGTATATATCAGATTAAACATTTTGAGTAGATATTTCCCTGTGAAACAAAACATTTCACGCACTGCTGGTCTGCTGCTGATGCTCAACTATGAGAGCCCGTGGCGAAGGGCAATCGTGGTACAGTTGTAGATGTCGTAAGCTGTTCAGTCTGCCGATGATGCTGACCATGCGATCTGTAATCATTGTTTTGACTTAATTTACTTTTTTCCTCAGACAGCCTTTTAATACTCTCTATGATGGTCGGATCCATTGCTGGCCACTATATGTCGTCGATGGCTGGTCCTCGGATGAACATCACCTTGCTGCTCATGCCTATGATAGCGAGCTGGGTTTTACTTGCCTTCAGTAAGAGCCTGACACTGTTCTTCGTTTCCCGCGCTATTCTCGGCATCTGTGGAGGCGTTGCAATGCCGATCGGCCAAATATACTTGTCGGAGATCGCTTCACCGGAAACGCGCGGGTTCATTTCATCGACTTCGATGCTGAGTCAATATATGACAATGCTCACTGTCAGCGTGGCGGCAATCTTCCTGCCATGGCGCGATTTGGCCCTCTTGAGTGCGGCTCTGATGTTAGCGCTTCTCCTGGTTTCTTTCGCAATTCCGGAATCACCCACGTGGTTGCTCCGTAGGGATGCGAAGGAGGAAGCAATAAAAGCTTTGCAGGTGAACTTGACCGAAATTCAGATGCACAGCAAAGAGAATCCGGGCCGCGGGAGAAAATTTGAAATGCGAGTGGACAAATGAAAGCACTCCTTCAGCTATTCTAAATTATAGCAGTTTTCCTGCAGGGCCGCAAAAAGTGCGGCATGGAAAGTGTAGTACTGGGGGATTCTCTTCACAACAATCTTTTCTGTAACGATTTTCTTCATACCGTATAAAGATTTTTTGTGTGGTCACACGGGGTTAAATCCCCACGTTATGGGGTTCTCTACAAAGAAATTTTCTCTCTGCGACGATTTTTTTTCTGGTCTCTTCAGATTTGTTGTACAGAGAGTCCATCTAACACAGAAAGATTATATTTCTTCCCTTTGTCCTTTCATTTATACCCGCGTTGTTTTCCCACGCAGCTTTCAGAAGCTTACCGAAATAAGTGGAAAACAGCGAAAGCGGGAGGAACCTAATGAAATCCCGAATCAAGACCTTAATCTTTGCCAAAATATTTTCAACTTCGGGGATTTTGTCCTTGAAACAGTGATATATGAAAGCTCATGGACATTTTATCAGTCTCATCATTGACCAAACGCATTGACGCATGGTTAAAAAAGCCCAGTTAATTCTTGATACGCACTCCAACGGATTGCCATCATGGATTGCAATCAGGAACAAAAATTACTGTATATTTTTTAAAGGAAATCGGGACTAAGATTATGTTAAATGCCGTAATAATTTGCTAATGGCCAATCTTCGGGCTTGATGCAGGACTTTGGATTAGACGCTGAAATTAGTCGGCATGACCTTTCCTCTACACAGTATTAAATTCCCAGAAGTTGCTGATGAAATTTCTCCGGAATTTTACTTGCAATTTTCCTTATTCGTATTCTCAGTTTGTTCGGGGGGAAGAGAACGTGAAACCAGAACTCGGAGACCTTCAAAAGCTCATAAAGGACTCGAAACTGCACTCATCCGGACGATTTTTGGATATTCTCCGGGGAAATTCCCTGAAGCCCATGGCCGTGTTGATTTCCTTCACTATATTGAGACAGTTCACCGGCGCTTTTGCAGTCGCTTCTTATACTGCCGAAATCTTTGAGACGGCAGGAAGCGGTCTCAGCGGAATTACGTGCACAGTGATCATCAACTTGATTCAGCTGTGCTTCAACTTCCTGTCGAACGGATTGACCGATCGCCTGGGCCGAAAGAAACTTTACGTGACGTCTGCTTCTCTGATGTGCATTGCAAATTTGTCATTTGGCACATACTTCCATTTTCTTCAAAAGGTACGGCTAGGTTCCTTTTTTCACTTCGGAGTAGTCGATTGAGATGTTCTGCGGTTATTGCAAGCCTTGCTACTGGATTTGTGAGTTGATGAATACTATATAATGCTCGATAAATAATTCAAAACACAGGATAATTTACGTGATTATAGTTAACGTTTGACAATAGGCAATACTCTGATTCCACGCAGTGACGTGGGAAAAAAGACTGACTGCATGAAGTGCAACCTTTTGACGTTCAAATACGGCATTCACAACTTACAGCTGGAAGCTTTTTGCCGAGGAAACGCGACTTTCACTGAAGAATTCAACATTTTGTTCACAGAATCCGACTGCAATGAAGTCATTCAATTGGGTTCCACTCGTCTGCCTAATCATATACAGTATCGGGTTTTCCGTTGGATTTGCTTCTTCTCTGTACACGCTCATGACGGAACTGATTCCGATGCGCATTCGTGGATCGGCTTCTGCAACGATATCTGTTCTCAACCACTTCTTCTGCTACATCATCATCCAGACCTTCTACAAGTTTGCTTGATTATTTTCATTCGAAATTAATGGGCTCACAATTTTGACCTTATCTTGCGGAAATTTCGCTTGAGCTGCCCCGCAGAATTATTCGTTTGGCTTAAATTATTATTTTTTTCTTCGCAGAAATTTCACTTGAAGGGCGAGGAAATTTTTTCAAAAGCGAAAATAAGCTTTTTTTTCTCAATTGTTTTTTATTTCAGCATGGAATTGGAGATGACCGAAGCTGGGACTTTCTGGTTTTACGGTGTGATTTGCATAGCTGCTGCTGTTTTCTGCAAAGTGATCTTGCCGGAGACGAACGGGAAAACTTTGGCCGAACTGGAAACCATGCTTGACAAAAAAAAGGCATCAAAACTTAATGCTGCGGACGACGATTCGAAGACATCCGAAACGAACGTAGACGAGGACATTGAAAATGCTACGGACCTGGCCATCAAAAATACAACTGAGGTGAAAATACGAAATCTTGACGAAGTCGGACTTGAAGGTTTGGAGGACGGAGACGGAGCACATGAAGACGACGGGATGAAGAAAATCTGAAGTCTGCTCCGTTTGAAGAGAGTGGCAGTTTTCATGACTGAATAAATATCTGAATTTCTTTCGTTTTTTATTATTTTTTATTTCAGTTGAAAGAAAAAAATAAATGCGTGAAAACGTTTTTATTATTTTTACTCTTTCATCAACTGACATTTTTTTCCCTTGAACGCTGAAAGTTGAGCCAAATTCAACTCCGGATGAATTAATCAGTTTGTATACACGTATTTTAGCTAGTTGATTGCATTTTATAATGCTCTTGTTCATTCCTCATGGGTTTCGACAGGATTCCGTCGTTATCAGAATTAACCAAATTAACCGAAATGATCATCCATTGCACCAAAGTATCTGTAAAATTGGCGACTGAAAAATGCTACAGCGCTTGATGGCCAAATATGTGAAATTTTATTCAGTTTACCGTTGAATGTGGCTTGAATATGAAACAAGTTTTCTTGGTTCCCGTGGGATGATTGTCAGTTCATCCATAATTATTTTTAGTCGTTATACTCTATGTTGAAACTCGAAACGGAGCCATGATGTGCTCAACTATTTACAGCGTCAGGTAATCAAAAAATACGGTAGGTACGGTATATACGTTCTTGGCTTCATCGTCAGCCGTGGCACATGGCGTTTATCTAGTCATCAAAAGTAATGTATAGGTATTCTACACTTCTGTGACTCTACGATAATCCTACCCTGATCATATGCATCTACACTTTGATAGTAATTGAACCTTTACCATCGCAGAAACACGAAATGATCTGATGAAGAACTACTGTATTGTAAAAAGGGAGAAATACTCCTATGAATTTAAACGCTCCACGATTTGAAAATAACGTACAGCAGATAACATAACCGATACGTCATTTCTGGATGTCTTCTTTTTCCATCATACCCCACCCCCCACCGCAAAACAAAACAAAAAAACAACAAGGAAAAACCATCTTGTCGAGTGAACAAAAAGGACATTTTTTTCGGTAAACGCCGAACAAATTTTTATGAGAAACAAAACATTGTGCAATGACTAGAAATATTTAGCTGGCGAAATGTACGTTTTCATCAGCTAAATATGAACGGTCGTGGAAACTTGCTTTGGTTGTTGAAATTATCGTGTTCTCAGTGGAACTCCGATGCGTGTTGATTCGACTGAGAATATAAGTATGTAATTATTGTTGACAGATTGAGCTGATTAAATAAAAAACCGGCCGAGCCTGCTGCACGAGCAGCGAACTTCATTGAATACAGTGAAACTCAACCGCTAACCACTTCACGGATGAAAAGTGCTGTCCTGTAATACAGTATAAGTTACAGATCGTGTGAAGTGACACGCAGCAATTTGAATAGATGGACAAGTTTATACGATCAAGAAAATTGTTGAACCCGTATCCAACTTGCCACATTTCCGTTTTTAGGAATGTTCAATGAACTCCTTTTCATCGGCTCCACATAGAAATTAATCTTGTGCAAGGATTTTTCCCCAACAACTCATTTGGATCATCGTTGTTCTCGTTTTACTTTGTTTATTTAAGCCTTGAATGCAGAAACGATAATACTGTACCGTGTCGAAGTTTATACAGATGCAGTGTCGAAGTTTATGCATGTTACCGTGACAAAATTGGGAGTGCTGGTGCAACGAGATCGTCGCCTTCCTGGTTTTTTGGAAGTGTGTTGTGCAAATCATTCGTCGCAATGGATGAGAAAGAGAAGCGAAAACATCTGTACCAACATGAAGGATTCTGTCATCAGGTGAGTACGACCAATGTATGTACTGTATCTGTACATGAAATCACGAGAGACTGATAATATCGTGGGACTTTCCGAAAACACGCATGAACACAGCCGTACATATGGAGTACGGTAATTCGACGAATTTTCTTGACCCGCACTAAACATATCACCTGTAGAACCTGTTTTGATGTGTAATTTTTCAAGATGGTGGTAAATGTTTTCCCCGCTTTATTGTAGAAGATAGCGTAGTAATGTCCACATTGGGATGCCTTTTCTGAGTGTGAGAACGTCTTGGGAAAAGTTGACGGATCAAATACAATTTACATTTCTCTGAACGTGTTAGCCGCACTTTCTCCCCAAAAATTCCGAACTTTCCTTGGGTCCTAAACCGTTTCTTTCCGTAAATGTCCGCTCCAAAATGTGGTGCGGCATCTAATCAACCACGGTAACTGGGAAGTACAGGACTCATCGTGTCCAAAAGTCTTCAAAAATGTCCTTCAATTCGAAAATTAAAGGTACTTGGAGCGTCTGTTGGGTCAATTTATGGCACCATAGTTGGGACTGCGCTGGGCTTCTCATCAGTTGGATTGCCGCTCTTCGGATGGGATGAAAATGCCCCGTTCATCATGGGTGAATACGAAAAGTCAGTTTTCAGTGAGTACATCAACGCATGAGGCATTCTGGTTTCGAAATCGTTGATTTTTTTTAGCAAAAGCACGCACAATATAGGCAGATCATGAATGGCGTCGAATACTTCAGAACAATGAAGTAGAATTACCAAGGTTTACGAATGCACAGTAAATTTCTTTCGTGCTGTGTACTAGATACCACCATTTGAAACGACAAGTTTCGCAATTCAAGCCGGTGGTTTTCTTTGAAGCACTGTATAGGTCGTCAACCTGCAGTTTGACGAATTTTTTCTCTTGCTTTGGGCTTATTTTATGAAGGCTTGCAATGATTATATCATTGAAAAATGTACGGCATTACTCAAGAAATTCGGATGATCTTTTTTATCAGATTGTTCAAACAATTTTGTTTTTCAAGATTCATGAATATGATCGTGACAGGCGTGTCATGACCTCATGGCTCATATATATTCTGACAAATGTTACTGTTATCAAATTTTAAAATATCAATGAATGAAAACAGTAAGACTTGGCTGCAAAATATATTTGTATTGCTTACGGCGAGTAGCTGGAATTATGTAGTAATTCAAATACCGGAATAACATCGTCATTTCGATACCGGAATAACGTCGTCGAGCCTGTTCCCTGCTGGAACAAACTTGTAAAAAAAAAATCTTTCCGCACTTCAGAACTGGAATTATCTATGCAGGAACAAATATTCAACACTTGTCCAAGTAAAAAAGGGGAACTTGAATAAACCCCAGAATGCTTTGAGATATTGGAAAAACAGAAATATATTTCATAAAAGACCTAACCTAACCTCATTCCATTTATTCCATAAATATTTCCAGTTGTTGAGTGCGGGAAGATTTTTATCAGGTGTTTTTTTTCCAGCAGGAGAGGCTTGACGATGGTATTCCGGTATCCGAATGACATTATTCTGGTATCAGAATTTTGACGTTATTTTACCATCCCCTTGCTGGGGATCAGTCAGAAATATTGTTTTAAATCTGCAAAACTTAATCATAAAGGCGGATTTGCAAATGTATGGCGATTTAACAATGGCGCTTTGCGAGAGCCTCAGCATATCAAGGTCTTCCTCAATTTTTTATCCAGGAGGCATTTGGAAAAAGTTCACACTGAAATCAATTAATGATAGATTTTATGTCAAAGAAATGGAAATATGATGAGGAATGCCATTTCTGCGGATGCCGACATTGAAAGTTCTGTACTCCCGTTTTCATGGCATAACCGCATATTGCAAATTGTCCGCAAGTTTTCCGGAGCTTTTATCTGATTTCCATTGCTTTTAATGTCCAGCTGAACAAGGTCATGAGCTCGGGTTACTCAAAAATTGAAAGCCCGAAAAAGTGAATAATTTTCCCTTCCGATATTCGTCGCATTTTTGCTCAGTTCGGGCAACGATTTTCCTCCATGCAGAGGAATGACTCGTAAATGATCCTTTCAACTGAAACGATCTTGGAAAGTTTTTTCAGCTTTGTAGCTCTATTTGTCGAAAATGTTGAATTTCTTTTCTCGCGGAAAGTAGGCAACTCTTGCTCTTTTCAGTATGCCTGTGTTGACGCACTCTGAATTGCTTGACAAAACCTTTTGATAAACATGATGATCAACAGCCAGCGTTTTCGTGTTGGTGATGATTGCTGGGTCTATCGTTGGTCGCTACTTGACATCCCTGGTGGGTCCTCGGATGATCCTTACTGCGCTGCTCTTACCCACTATTGCGAGCTGGCTCCTGATTGCTTTCGGAAAAAACATCTACCTGTTCTTCATTTCGCGCACGATCCTCGGCATGTGCGGAGGTATCGCTTTGCCAATCGGTCAGATGTACCTCACGGAAATCACTTCGCCAGACACCCGCGGGTTCATTGCTTCTACCGCGATGTTGTCCCAATATATCTACGGCTTCGTTGACAGCGTCGCAGTATTGGTCATGTCATGGCGAGGATTGGCCATGTTGAATGCGGTAGTGATGGCTGCGCACTTCCTTGTTTCGTTCTTCCTCCCGGAGTCGCCCGTTTGGCTGCTTCGGAAAAATATGACTGAGAAAGCCAGGGATTCCTTGCAGGTGATGAGCTAATGACTTATTTCATGGAATGTCGAAGAGCGAATCAATGAAAAATAGCAGCTGAAGCACTCCATCGAAAGAGCTTTTTGCAACCGCCGTTATAGTGTCTTCAAGTGGCGGCACTAGGACGAATATATGCATCTGTAAATGCACACGTGCAGATTTTAATCTTCGTAAAATGAACTGAAACGCAAATTTTCCGTAAAAAGCCGCAAGGTACTGCTTCCTCGGACGCCTCGACGAAATTTTAGCAGCATTACTTTCAGCAAAGAAATCCCTTTTGCGCAGCACGCTGAATATCGCGTCCTTACACTTCCATCAACCATTTTGTTATCAGGAGATCAAACTTTTACGAGGAGAGTAGCCCTATTTTATGCAGAAGAATTACCGGCCACACATATAACGAAATGTTGAAGATGTTTGAACGGTCTTCATTTCTGGATTTAATTCGAAAGTATTTTTCGCCTCTTAGTTCGTCAGAGGCAAGGAAGACGTGGAATTTGAACTGAGAGATCTTCAATTGCGAATAGAGGAATCAAGAAGATCATCCAGCGGATTGCTGGATCTGCTCAAAGGAAACTACTTGAAACCCCTGTTCGTTTTGACGGCGTTTATTGCATTTCGACAACTCAGTGGGGCATTTGCAGTTCTTTCTTACACGGTTGAAATATTTGACACAGCGGGGAGCGGTGTTGGCGCAATTGTGTCAACTGTGATCATAAATGCAGTTCAATTGTGTTTCAACTTCCTGTCGAATGTAATGACTGATCGTATCGGCCGCAAAAAGCTGTATGTGGCGTCGGCATCCCTGATGGGGATTTCGCATTTTTCATTTGGGACATACTATCATTTTCATGACAAGGTAAGAGGCGAATCTCTTGGATTTTTTTTTTTTATTTTTTTATTTTATTTTTTTTTTACTGCTCGAACGTAATATATTTTTTGCTTTGAAGCTTGTTAGTTTCAAAGTACGGTATACGGGACGTGAAGTTTGCATGAGGAACTTTTCAAACCGGAATTATTTTGAAATGGACTTTTATTTCGCTCAGAACGAAATCGCGACAAGGAAATTCAACTGGGTGCCATTGGTGTCGCTGATTTTTTACTGCATCGGGTTTTCCGTCGGATTTGCGCCTGCATTATACGTACTGATGACCGAACTGATTCCTATGCGCATTCGAAACTCAGCTTCTGCGGTGATGTCAGTAATCAACAACGCTGTTTGCTTCATCGTCGTTCAGTACTTTTACAGGTACTGTATTGCATTCTTACGTTGAGCATGTGATGGACGAAAGAAGTGAATTGATGGAGGAAATTGGGAAGATAGGAAGCTGCGGGGCTCCTGTGGTGACGTGTGTTAATGGCCGCTGGCCTCGCGGCTCCCGGTGACCCACTGCATGCGCATTTGTTTTCTGGATGACAAGATTGCTGAAAAATGTGTCAAGTGAAAATCATTTTTAGATCGGACTGATTTGGAGTGAAATTAATTTTGAGCAATCGAGTCATTAAGAAAAAAGATGGCGCATGCAGTAAGTCACCAGGAGCTGCAAGGCAAGCACTCAGCAGCACCTCTGCAGTACAGCAACTCCACAGCATCCTCTCTTGACGATTTCCTTCACTTTCTCACCCCCTCCTTCTGGATTTTGGGAACATGTGCAGGCTCTCCAAGGCAGCATACAGTTTTCTGGTAAAATTGTTGCATCCTGCAATTCTTTTATTCATGCAAACATCTCTCCAGAACAGCAGCTTAATGGAAAAGTCACCTGACTTTTTTGTTGTTGAACGTTTTCATTCAAATGGTACGTACTTGAAATCATTCCGTGACACTTGGGACCGTAAAAATACGTACAATTTGAAAGACGATTGAACAATGTTTCATTTGGTGCTTTTTTCATTGCCACAGCTTAATTTGCTACTGAGCTATGTTGTCAAGTCATAAAATCGGTTCACTTTTTTTTGGCCCTCCCTGTACAGTATATTGAAGAAGTACCTCTACTGGTATTGACTGCACAACATTGTCCTGGGTTTTTTCGTACCCATCCGAGGCCAGATAGATTAGGTTGCTCAATTTCAGCTTTTCTTTTAGAGTATCCTCGATAAAGAAAAATGGTTTCAATTGTGCCGGGAGAACAGTTCAACGGGAATACCAAGTAATTAGACTGAGCGCGATTTAATAAATTATTATGATCAAATCATTTATGATTTCTGCTTTTCAGCATGCGTCGTGAATTGACTGAGGCTGGTGTTTTCTGGTTCTACGGCTCAATTTGTATTTTCGCTGCCGTTTTTTGTGAGATTATGTTGCCGGAAACGAAAGGAAAAAATCTCGACGAGTTGGAAGCAGCGTTTGCCATCAAAATAGCACCGAAAAATGAGTCTGAAGGAAATTCAATATTGTTGGAAACGAACGGCGCCTACAATACCGGTATTGTAGGCGTCGAGAATGCGTCGGATTTTGCGCTGTTTAATGACGACGATTCTGACGAACTACCTTCGGGTGAAGATGTTTTTGAAGTAATGGACGACGCAAGAAGTAGATCCGACATTCTTGATAAGGACCACGGTGAAGGAACGTCCAGATGAACCTCGGATTTATTTTTCTAATTGACTCTCAAACTCTATCCGTGCTTTTCACCAGACACCCTTCATGGATCGTTTACTCCCTAAGTCACGGGTCTTCTGGCAGATTTCGCAGTCACTCAATTATCTCTTCAAATCCAAATGACGTAGCATCTTCTTAATTACAGAATTGGAATTCGTGACCCGTCTGTCCAAGACTGAATTATACCTTCGACGCAATCTCACGCGAATACATGAAATGCTGATTGACTGAATTGTGACTGCATTCTTTCAATCGTCTCATCAAATATACAGCACTGCATTCGCCGATAAATTTTCGAATAAATGAAATTATCATTTATATGAAAACAAGGATGTACGCCTACTCAATAATTAATACTGTATAGAGCGAAGAAAGTAATTGGCGTGAGCTCGTTGAATTGCCACGAGGTGTTATCCTGCGGAACACGGACGAACCTGGGATCGAAAAGCTGTTCCTCACGTCAGAATGCATAAGCTAATGCCAACCGACAGTTTAACTGATGTTCGTGGAGGAATCACGCGGGAAGGGAAGGCACTAGCGAGTTGCTCCAGTGACCACCCATTGCGACAGATTAATCACGTTCACGACGATGATCTCAACAAAGGCTTTCTACGCCTTTTTCGGGTTCAAGTTCGTGAAGGCGACTTAGCAGTCATGCGTTCTTTTCCTTTAGATTATTAATAGCCATACGGCGAGAGTTAGTTATACGTGGAATATTTCCATGAAAGTCGGCTCGGCATGCAGACCATTTCGCATGCTTGTTCTATTACATGTTGACCCGGAGGTCCTTCATCAGGAGGATCACCTTCGGCAATCATTTTTGTTACCCGAAATGACCGTAAACAAGATTGTGTTCGACTCGCACTTGTCACCACCGTTCGTGCTTACGTATGTTGTGCATTACATTATAAGGGGAAATCTCGTTAATACGACCTATATATGGACAACAAAAAATGTCATAGAACTGGTTAGAGTCCCGTAAGAGAGAACTTTTTGCAAATCCGATTTCCATTCTTTAATTTCTAAGATTATCTGGACAAAAGTTCAAGCAAATGAACATTCAAATAAATCTGAATAAAAATCATCAATGCATGTAACGTGAAAAGTTTCTCCAGCTGTGAAAAGAACGCTTTTTTCTGAAGGCAGTGTTATCCATTATTGAATCAATTCATCTTTTAATGGAAATTTATTCTAAATTCGTGTGTAATATTTTCCTTGATTTTTGTTTCTTAGAAAAGCGTGAAGCAAAATTTAGAATTTCAAAAAGACTATCTTAATAGACCGTATTCGTGAAGTAGTGGACAACTTGAGATCCTTCTATAAATTTGAATATTTCCTATCAACTAAAAGACGCGAAGTCTTTATGAGCGACACCTATCAATCTTTCTGAAAATAAAAAAATTAATGCGTGCTATTGCACACTCTTTGTCGCCTTTTCAAAACTCTGAAGTGCAAATACTTAGGACGCGGAAGCACCTGCGTGGCACACTGTCGGAAATATTGTGCATCTGGTCTCGGATTTTGGAGGTATATTTCGTCTATCCATGCATTTTTTTTTCGAAGGTTACGTTTATGCGATCCTTAGTGTGAAATGCAGATGCTTAATCCAATAACTCCCAAGCATGAAATCATGAATTATTCCAAGCATAAGTATAAGGGGTCCAAAGAGTGAAAGTCGGAAAGAATCGCCTTACAACACTGCACGCATCATGCAGCAGTGTCTGCCCAAAAAAATAGCCGGATAACTTCACCTCATGTCCCAACCTTATTTTTGAACTTGTGAAAACTATGAAATGCAGATTATTCTTACCATTTCAATGTGTCAGTATGCATTTAATGCAGGACAACTTATATAGCGAAATTGGAATAGCAGCAAGTTGCACAGCACTGACAATCACTTTCATCAAACCTGCAAAAATTATATGGGATCGAAACAATAACTTGCACCACGCCACAACTCACACAACTTTTTTGCATATAAATTGTTCCATTTATTTATTGCAGATTGTTTCTTGTCTAAGGGGAGTTTGAATGTATGCTAATTCCTTATTAGGACAGTCAGAGCGGAGCCCTTCTGTTTTAATAATTCACTTGAATGTGGTGTTAATCATGTCAGCTTCACTTGCATCCTTATCCTTTTAAAGTTCCAGTAACTGATTGGTACCAATGAACAGACTGTATATCCAGCATAACAGCAGTATATATTTTCAAGTCTTCTTGAATTCTATAGTGTACATCACTTTCAGATTACTTTGGGAAATTTAATGGCAATTATTTGTTCTCTGATTTTTCAAAATAACAGAGCAAATTCAATTTTTTGTGGGAAGCCAGAACCTTGTGATGCGATTCTGCTCTTATATATTGGCACAGTCTTTGAATGTCTTACATGATTCATATACAGTATATATTTCATGTAAGCAACCAACTTTTCTTGCCAGAGACATATCAGCTCTCTGTTGATTGCATAAAAACTATTGAGGCAGCATAAAAATGACATTGAATTGAAAATAATGACACAGTGAAGGGATGAAAATAATCTTCATTTTACAGTTCCTCACAATTTAAAAAAATTATGATGAGCCATGAGGCAAAGCTATCCGGCTGTATTTTGGGGCAGACACTGCATGATGCGTGCGGTGTTGTAAGTCGATTATTTTGGACTTTCACTATTTGGAACCCTTATAGGATGCTCAAATAAATAATGCATCTTGAAATCAAAGACTTTCTGAAACTTTTTAATTTTGTTGGATTATTTTCTAATTTTCTTCAGACCAGGTCTATATATTTGAACATTACTGATGATGATTGACAGCGCTCCAAGACATTCAATAAAATCACAAAAAAGACATTCAATAGAATAACACAAAAATACTAGGAAGTTTCATGGATTGTCAGCAAATGGTTGACACAAATGAATCAATATATTTACTTTGATCTGTACCTTCACATAATGAACTTATAGAACTTGTAAGCAATGAGAACCAGAAATACTGCTGACAACAGCTTGTTATCCAGGAAATGCTTGGATATGTTTCTAGGATCTCTATTTTTAATTTGCACTTGCTCCAAGGAAGCATACAAGGTTTTCTTCCTGCAGCTGTTTCCTTGTTTTGAATTTTCTCTTCTCATGTCACTCCAAGTTAGCAGCGTGATGTGCTTTTGTTCTGTTTAAAGGAAATAAAACTCCCCCTCACCTTTGACAGTGACAAATGCCTCTAGCACAGCCACACCTCTGAAATATGGATTTCAGAGGTAAATATCCTCCAAGATTGTTTTGCATATATATACAAATGTTGTTATTGTGTGTCAGATATTTTTATGTTTGTTTCACAAGGTCTGCGCACTCATGAATAAAATGTGATAGACCACAATTAACCTATATACCTGAGAAAGTATATATATTACTCAGGAACCTTATATTCCTCAGATTTAATCCAGTGTCAACCTTGGTTACATCTCAGAGAACCTTGTGTACATTTAACAAGATTCTCTTAAACTACTTGTCTGTTATATTTTATTTTTGAGTACTGTTCAAAACCTCTATGTTGTTGTGAATAAAAAGATTTATACATATTCAAAGAGTGTTTCATTTTAACAGACAACAAGCTTGAATTAAGACTCCGGTACCAGGGGAAACTCATCCATTCCTTGATACTGCCAATAATCATCGTGGTGAAGATTTTGTTTGTCTGGGAGATGGGTCCAGCAGCATTCTGAAGCAAAGGAAAATATCTATTCTTTTTTGCTGATTACTATTACCTTATCATATGCGCCTTCCTTTTTTTTGCAGATCCCATGAGCTTAGAAACAAAAATGCTGCTTGTCATTAAATTATGAGCAACAAGTTAAAATTGACAAAGCTGGCTCAAAAAAGATTATGATACAAACAATTGACTTCAAAACCCTCATTTACAAAAAAATGCATTTATTTATGAACTCATTTAATATGAAGTTTTTTGAAATAAACCTGCCCTCTTATTTTCAATGAACACTTGTCCCTTTATTTTACCGCATGCTCAGATGTCTGTGAATTTCCTACATCCTGACCCATCCCTGAATTTCGTAACGAACTGCACCCTCCACCCAGGAGAATCAACAGAATTTTCGGGAGCCACCATGTGTGAGACCAATACCTGCAGCTCTCTCTAGCTTCTCGTTGTTGGGGTCTGTCACCCCAGGAAAGACTTGGTGCCTGTATCTACATTATTTCGGGAGCTCTCCGATTGGCTGGGGGGAGACTGCCAAGCGCGGGGGGGTGGGGGGGGGGGGGGGGGGGGGGAAAATTCACGCAACAGCTTCATTCAATCAATATTTACCCAGAAAAGCAAAAATTTGCCCAAATAGTATTGAAATATGCAACATATGCTTAATGAAATCCTGCAACATGTTTTACTGATTTGAGTGTAATTGTTCTGCCTATGTTAAGAAAAACTTGTCATTCAATCTTTTATGAACATGAAAAAGAAACATAAATCAAGAGCTGTTCTTTAAAAAATAGGATTTCTTCATTCCATACAGTGCTCATGATTTGAATAAATTGACAAAATTAGGAGGTTAGTATTCAAATGGGACTATTTGGAATGAGTTAAGACTCACCGTTTTCTGGAGTTGCTGGAGGTCCAACTACAGGCATGTGTGAAGAACTTTTTGAGGACTCAAAAGGCAGGGTTGTACCTTGCTTGCCAAATACAATGCATTGCATTCTACTCCTAGAAGGTGGACCAACTCATGCAGATCTGCAACTTGGTCTTCAGGGGTTTTGCACAGCAGCTTGTTTCTGTGGGTGGTGGGGGTGTCAGCAACAATGGGCAGAGGGAGCATTGTCACCAATCACTTACTCTACCAACTGAGCTCACTGACACTGTCACCACCTCCCTAGATCAGCTACTTTATCAAACTCTTCATGAGGTCTCTGAAAAATTTAGATTGCAGTCCTTAGTCACACTTCTTGTACACTCACTAATTTTATCACTCTGCTTTCCTTGGTTAAGCCCGTGAACTCAAGGCAGTTTTATTCCACCGCAGAGGAGTAACAGCATCACAAATTTCTTCAAAACACAATCTTGTCCATGCACAGACTTGTTGCTTTTACTTGTGGAACACTCACCCCCCAGAAAAAGAGGACAGACAACTGCACCAATTTCTGTTATCCTATTTCCAGAGAAATAAAAGATTTGGTGAGTCTTAAATAAATTCTTACTATTACCCCTAACAGCAAGTTTATTACCAACCTCGACTCTTAAGATAACATACTCTATCCTGGTCTTTAATATGTGGTTGATATTAGG